CACGTGCTCGATCTACTTCGCCCTCGAAATGTTCCGTCCGCCTCCTCCTCTCTCCCTCATCCCTCTACTTCCTCCCTCTCCTTCCTTCCTCTCCTTCATCCCTCTTTTTCATCCCACTATTTCTTCCCTCTCTCTCATCCCTCTCCTTCCTCTCTCATCCTTCATCCCTCTCTCTCATCCCCCTTCCTCATCCATCTCCTTCCTTCCCCTCCCTCATCCCTTCCTCCCCCTCTCTTCCCCATCCCTCTGCTTCCTCCCTCTTATTCCTTCCTCCCTCATCCCTCTCCCCATCCCTCTCCCCATCCCTCTCCCCATCCCTCTCCCCCATCCCTCACCGCCATCTGGGCCACCTTATTGCAGGGTGGAGAAGAAACCAACTCGTGATTCTAGAAAACGCATCCATCTCCTCATCTTCTTATAATCACAGTTCGTCCGCATACAATCACGGGAATTCCCTTCGTAGCCAACAAGGGGGGTCGAATAGCGAGGCTGGAGTGGAGCAGTCGGCTCGGTCTCCTCTAAGAGCAGACTCGGTATTGGTTCTAGCTAGCGGTTTGAGAGAAGGGTTAGCGAGTCCGCCTGGGGAAAAAATCGGCGGAAGCGAAGCTGGTGATTTCAGCGGCGGTGACAATAACGGAAGCGATGCAAGCGGTGGGGACGGTGGTACGGGTGATACTGAAGCCAGTGATAGTCTCGAAAGTGGGGTGGATAAGGGGGGAAAGGAGATGAGTGGAGGTGGCAAAGGAGGGGGTAATGAAATGAAGGAGGTCGTTTTAGAGGGCTCGAATGAAGCCTTTTCCACTGCCGGCAGCAGCACTAGCGTTAGAAGCAGCAGCAGCGATCCCTCTTCTTCCTTCGCCCCATCTGATTCTACTCACAGTTCCTCCTCCTCCTCCCCCTCCTCCCCCTCCTCCCCTTCCTCCGCCTCCTCCCCCGTCGTCACTTCCGCCCCCTACACCTCCTCCGCCGTCCCCGCCGTCCCCGCCGTCCCCGCTGCCCCGCTCTGCGACCTGTACCACGGGCGGTGGGTGCGTGCGCGGCAGCGCGCGCTGTACTCGGGGAAGAAGTGCAAGTGGATTTCGCTCAACTGGGCGTGCGCGCGCAGCAACCGCCCGCGCGAGATGCGCCAGTACGAGCGCCTGCGCTGGCAGCCGCGCGGGTGTAATGCGAAGCGGTTCAGCGCGGATGGCTTTTTCCGCAGGTGAGGGGGCATGGGGGTAGAACTGGGTGGTGTGATTAGCTTGTACGTGCAAGTACGAGCGCCTGGGACGGCAGCCGGGCAGGTGTGGTGCAAAGCGGTTCAGCGCGGCAGGGTTCTTCAGGAGGAGATACGATTTTTGAGTCGGTTAGAAAAAATATTCAGGAGGTCAGACGTGTATTGAGTCGACTAAAACGGAAATATCAGGAGGTGAGACGGCTTTTGAGTCGCCAAAGAAAAAGAAATCAGGAGGTGAGACGATTTTTAGTCGAGTAAAACTCAAATTCAGGAGGAGGGACGATTCTTAGTCGAGTTAAACTCAAATTTAGGAGGTGGGACGATTTTTTTGTCGAGTAAAACCCAAATTCAGGAGGTGGGACGATTTTTTAGTCTAGTCCAAATTCTGGAGGTGGGACGGTTTATGAGTTGATAAAAAAACTCTTCGAGACTCCTCAATGGGTTTCTTCAGGTCGTGAGGGGAATGGGGCAGGAGTGCAGAGGTGGAATGGGGCAGGAGTACAAAGGGGGAATGGGGCAGGAGTACAAAAGGGGAATGGGGCAGGAGGACAAAGGGGGGATGGGGCAGGAGTACAAAAGGGGAATGGGGCAGGAGTACAAAGGGGGAATGGGGCAGGAGTACAAAGGGGGAATGGGGCAGGAGTACGAAGGGGGAATGGGGCAGGAGTACAAAGGGGGAATGGGGCAGGAGTACAAAGGGGGAATGGGGCAGGAGTACAAAGGGGGAATGGGGCAGGAGTACAAAGGGGGAATGGGGCAGGAGTACAAAGGGGGAATGGGGCAGGAGGACAAAGGTGCAATCGGAAGTTAGCTTGGGGTTGTTTCCTGTCAGAATTCGCAACAAGCGCATCGCCTCTGTGGGGGACTCGCTAGGCCAGCAGCAGTTCCAGTCGCTGCTCGGCCTGTAGCTCTTTACCCTAGACCGTTTCCCCTTTCCTCCTTGATACCCACCTCTCAGAATGTGCGACAAGAGCCTTGCCTTTGCGGGGGACTTCCCTGGGCCAGCAGCAGTTCCAGGCGCTGCCCTTCCTGTAGCTCTTACTCTTACCCGAGACCCTGTTCATGCCTTCCTGCTTCTTTCCCAACCGTCCCCCCGCCCCTTGGCAGGATGCGGAACAAGAGCCTTGCCTTTGTGGGGGACTCGTTAGGCCAGCAGCAGTTCCAGTCGCTGCTCTGCCTTCTCTCCCCAAAAGGCCCGCCCAAAAACATGTCCGACCCTTCATCCCCCATCCAAGACGTGGGCCCTGATTACGGTTTTTTTCAGCTGCCCGGGGCCCGCCGCCCGACCGGTTGGGCATACAGATTTGTGAAATATAACACTACAGTGATTTTCCGCTGGACGACGTGTTTATGCGAAATCGAGCCGTTCAATAAGGAGGATTGGAAGAAGGGCCAGGCGATGCACTTAGACCGGCCTGACACTTTTCTAAGAGACTTCCTTAAGGAGCTGGACGTCGTCGTTCTGAACACGGGGCATCACTGGAACCGGGGCAAGATGAAAGAGAGTGCGCTGGAGTTCTTCCTGAATGGTAGCAAGGCGCCGCCGGTGAGAAAACGGCCGATGGTCATGGCACTGGCGCTGAAAACGGCGATCCGGTCGGTGTCTGTGTGGATTGATGAGCAGCTGAAGGGGAGCGGGGGAGAGGGAGGTTTGCTGGTGAAGCCAGGAGAAGGAGAAGGGGAGGGAGGAGAGGAGGGAGAGGGAGAGGGAGGAGGGGAAGGATTGAGGCGGAGTTTGGGCACTGCTGTGGAGCTTCCAGCTTTTGCGGCGGGTGGGGGTGCGAAGTTGAGGACGGCGATTTTTGCAACGCCAGACACGAAGCCAATGGTGTTTCTGCGATCGATAACGCCGAGGCATTTTATGGAGGGGGAGTGGGACTCGGGAGGGCGATGCGACCATCTCAAGGTATGTAGTGACAGTGTTTTTGTAAAGATTTGATCTTTCTATACCGTATGTTCGTGCATATTCATTCGGGTTGTGATGATTTGGCCACATTCATACGTTGCCTCACGTATCCCTGGTGGTTGTTTGTATGGTTTTATTTTTTATTATTTTTACCATTGCGCGTGCAGCATCCCTTAGGGGATGTGGAGGTGGCCAATATGACAACGAGGGACGCTGAAAAGGAGGATGGAGTGTTGGGAACATCAGTACACCTGTTGAACATCACGCACTTGTCAGCCTACCGTGGTGATGCGCACCCAGCCATCTGGGATCCCCGATCCAATACGCCCAAGGGACAAGACTGCCTTCATTGGTGCTTACCGGGAGTTCCAGACACGTGGAACGAGCTGGTTTACACACACATTGTGGAGAGGGAACGATTGGAGAAGCAGAACCTGAATGCCATGTAAGCTCTAGATTCGTTGTAGTCTTACCACTAGGGCTTGTGATGTCATGTCAGCCATATTCCAATGCACGAATTAGTGCATTGTAAAACCAGTATGTAAGGCTACTTTAGGGGAAGAAGTACCGTAGGTACTAAACGAGTATTATTTAGGTAATATACATACAGTTTTAACTGACTGCCAGGTTGATTTGCCTGTAACGTTGCACTTTCCCATGTTTTTTAACCACTGTACAAATGATATCATGTCAGAGTTGGGTAGTGGAATGGGGGATGAGTAGCACATGTGAGATACATATGGGAAACCCTCAATGGGTTGTACCCTTTAGAGAGTACCCTCTCTGTAGTCCATAAATGGAAATGTATAATCTGATAAGTTTCACTCACAGAGACGTTTTCCATGCCATGCTGCCTTGCCACTGCATTGCATACACCATAGTTCTGGGCTTTGCTACTGGTATGTTCTAATGTGAAGTGGCTGGGAGGGGTGCGTCCCACTCAGGACCACTGTTGAAGCAACATCCAATCCAAACTCAGAAGTACCGTAGTTTCGTTTCCAGCGTTTCAAACAGCACACGCGTACACAACTACAATCCTCAAACCGGATAAATCTAAGGCAAAGCATGTGCGGATGACAGCAAAGTCAGTGCTGCTGCCATTGATGTCATCCTAACGACTGCAAAACACTGAGTGGTCAAAAGCACTGGCATTCTTGTCCCTGGTTTATGGTAACAAGGGAAGGACAAAGAGGATGACTCGGAAATGTGGACTTTGAAAAATGGTGCAAAAAGGGAAGTACATAATGTATGCAGTTGTGCGGGTGGAAAACAATTTAATCACACACCATGAATATGAAGAAAACAGCTTCGGAGTGTCTTCCAAGGAGTCTTCTCCTAAAATGTCACCGCCACAGTTATCGGCTTGGTAGTGTTTGACATTGGTGCACTTGGGAGCATCGCCGATGTTGTCTACACCAAAAATTGACGTGTACTTCCCCACCAGGGAATCTGGGAACTGAGTGCAGCTATTGATCCCGGCGCGAAATGTGTAGGGTCGAGAATTGAAATCCGAGGCTGTTTCATCGACGATAAGCGTGATGCTGGATGAAGAAACGGTGGAAGCTCGACCTGCGAAAGGAAGGACAAAGGAAGGACTCTGTGCAATGCTTGTCTTTACTGTTAGATGTTCCCACAATCATACACGTCGCCATGCATCCCCACATTCATACGTACCTTCGTACACTAACACATACAATATCACATTCGCACAACTCAAGCCAGATGAGCCAACTTGACAGAACAAGAAAGGCGGAGCAAAGAGTGGTAAAAGAGGGGGAGGGGAGTGAGTGGGGGGCATGAGAGGAGGGAATGGGCCACTTGAACATGCATCAATGAGTCTCACCCTTTACACACTTGGTCGGGGTGATTCCATAGCCTTTAGGGCACGCGCAGTAAGGCACCTCCACCCTCCCATATTTTCCCCCAGGAACGATTTTGCAGGTGGCTCCAGTGGGGCAGGCGCCACAGGGTGAGGCTGAGGGGTGGGGATGGGTGCAGTGCGGGATGTGAGTGCAATGCTAGTGGGGGTTTGGGGCTCCAGAGGGGCAGGCGCCACAGGGTGAGGCTGAGGGGTAAGGATGGGTGCAGTGCGGGATGTGAGTGCAATGCTAGTGGGGGTTTGGGGCTCCAGTGGGGCAGGCGCCACTTGGTGAGGCTGAAGAACCAAGGGAGAGGGGGAGCAGCAAGGAAGAGGGGGGAGCAAGGAAGAGGGGGGAGCAAGGAAGAGGGGGGAGCAAGGAAGAGGGGGGAGCAAGGAAGAGGGGGGAGCAAGGAAGAGGGGGGAGCAAGGAAGAGGAGGGGGCAAGGAAGAGGAGGGGGCAAGGAAGAGGAGGGGGCAAGGAAGAGGAGGGGGCAAGGAAGAGGAGGGGGCAAGGAAGAGGAGGGGGCAAGGAAGAGGAGAGTTAAAATTGCAAGAGATGGAACGCCATGCTCACTCTCCCCACTGCCAGGAACTGCATGCTCACCCCACGGGGATATACGAAATTCGTATGCAATCTGAAACACCATACCCACCGCACTGGCAGTTAAGATATCTGAACTGCAGCAAATGCAGGATCTGCTTATCCACGACACAAGTGCCATCAGGCCCACGTCCCAATGCGAAAAAAAGAGTGTTTTTGAGACGTCCCAAGAGCACCATACTCACCCCACTGGCAGTAAAGGTCTTTGAATTGCCGATCTACGACACAAGTGCCATCAGGCCCACATCCCAATGCCGCACACGCAGGATCTGCAGCAGCGGCGAAAAGGAAGGGGCAAGAAACAGGTGTGGGAATGCTTCTAGACGCGTAGACGCCGTACGGCATTGGAAGGGTGTATGCAGCGTCTGCACCACTCAGGAAAGAGGGCTTTGCGATGGAGTGAGAGACGCCACAAGGGCAACTGCCCTAACGGAAGTTTTTTTATGAGCCTAAAAAGTAATCGGAAGGATGTGGGCAGCGTCTGCAGCACTCAGACAAGAGGGCTTTGCGATGGAGTGAGAGACGCCACAAGGGCAATCGCCCTAGAGGAAGGCACCACAGCTCGAAATCAAGCAGTGGCAGCGTCACACGTTTCGGAATGACACACTTCGGAATGACACACTTCCGACCACACGCTTTGGAACCACAGACTTCTAGGGAGTCCCTTTCTACGGGGTTTCGCACCAGGTCGGCAATGAACGTACCACTGGAGTTCACTATTTGCGGCTCGTAGGGAATGCAGAGAATAGACGACGTTGTCTCCCAACTTGATATTTTGATGTCCGTGTGTGGGAACCTGAAGGGCGTGGCAAGTGGAAGCACACCGTATCATGCATGCTCACGAAACAAGACGTTAATTTTTCTCCAATATGAGCTTGATTCGTGGCAGACCGTATCATGCTCACGAAACGTTGAGTTTTCACGAAAATTAGAAGCTCAATAACATTTTCACCCCTCCCTCCCCCTCCCCTACCCTCCTCCTCCCCTCCCCTCCCCAACTCATGCGCTGCTCGTGTCCTCTCGTCATGCCTCACACACGGCCGCACCACCCACCACTCACAAGGCATCGCTGACACACACCACCCCCACCCCCACCCCACTCACGCGACACCAGCCTGCGCCATGGCCGGGTTGAATCTGTTTTTTGAGAACTCTAAAAAAACAGACACGGCCGCACCACCCACCACTCACATGGCATCGCTGACACACACACACACCACCCCCACCCCCACCCCCACCCCCACCCCACCCCACTCACGCGACTCCAGCCTGCGACCTGGCCGGGTTACGAATGGTATCGCGCGCCGTGCCCTTGCAGTTGCTCTTGTCGAAGAACTGGACCTGCTTACACTGCACGCCTCTCGCCAGGCCGCCCGACTTCTCGTTGGTCGAATCCACGTTCCAGAACACAAACACGCGGTCCCTCCGCTGCACCCCTTTTACAATGTTTAAGCAGCGCTGCCTGCGGAAACTCATCCGCCAGAACCAATGCATCACCACCGATGTGATAATCGGCGGCGGCTCGGATTTTCCACTTGTGCTGCCAGCAGTGCTGCCAGAGGTACTGCCGTAGCTGCTGCTACTACTAGTAGTAGTGGTGATGCTGTGAACGGCGGGGGTGGTGGCGGCGGTGGCGGTCTCTAGCGCAATCCTCGCATTAACCTGCCTGCTCGCTGTTTCCCCCATTGCCGTGGCTTTTGCTTCTCCATTCGCGGCTCTCAGCATGCTTCGTATGGCCGTGCGATGAGTCGTGCTTCTCGCCGTGCCGTCGCCATACACGGCCGTGACGGCGAATGACTTGTAAAACAGAGTAGCTCTGATGACTGGAAGGCTGGAAACTTGGCTGGAAGAGCTCAACAGAGCTGCTGGACTTGGCTTGATGAGAGAAAACTTACACTATGCTCAAGATTAACAAGCCCACTAAAGCACAACTCTAGGCATCACAAACAAGACAGATTGAAAGCTCAAACTAGGCTGATAGACAATGTAACTTCCCTGGTAACTTGGGCACAATCTAGATTGGATGGACCTTGAGTGACTTTGAGTGCCACATGAGGTGCATGAATAAGAAAACTCTGGATATTTCTGTTATAGCTGATTCTGATGTGTAGAAACCTGTAGAAACTGCCAACACTTCGGTTTGAAGGCAGCTTTGAACTATATCGAGTCTTCGGCTGAAATCTGATTGGTGGTGGAACTTTCGAAGTACTTCCCGAAGCTCTGATTCATCGCCGACATTCCCCCTTGCTGCTGCTTGTGTGCAAAGGGCTGGGGCGGCAGAAACTCGATTCTCCAACACTCCCCCTCGCACCAGACCCGAAGCACACATACACCCATGCTGATGCTCCTTTCACATCTCCTTAGCATACACTTCATGCTGCTGCCCACGTCTCTTCCCCTCACACTCCTCATTCTCCTCAAACTGCTCCACTGCTTCATGAAGTGTCATGAGGCCTGCTCTTGCCTTGCACATGTTGAATGCATCATGTGGAAGAACCTTGGTCATGAAATCTGCTGCTTGATCGAATGAACGGCAAAAGTTGACGGTGATAACTCCCTTCTCTAGTTGCTCACGAATGAAGTGGTACTGCACCTCGATGTGTTTTGTACGCCCATGATGAACCGGGTTCTTGGAAATAGCTACGGCTGAAGTGTTGTCCACGTAGAGCGGAGTTGGTTGAGTTTGCGGCTGCCTCAATTCCTCCAAGAGTCCACGTAACCAGATTGCCTCCCTTGCTCCTTCGGTCATTGCCATGTACTCAGCTTCGGTTGTTGAAAGTGCCACACAACTTTGCTTGCGCGATTGCAAAGAAACAGCGGCACCACACATGAGGAAGATGTAGCCGCCGGTAGACTTGCGTGTGCTCAATTCTCCCGCCCAATCTGCATCGGTAAAGCCTTGGAGGGAGCTTGCATATGGGCTGGCTTGGAAGAGAAGACCATGATTAGAAGTACCTTTGAGATACCGAAGAGCTCGCTTGGCTGCATGCATATGAATAGGTGAAGGGGCACTCATGTGTTGAGCTAGCTTAGATACCGTGAATGCTAAGTCGGGCCTTGTGCATAGGGCTGCATACATGAGACACCCAACCTGACTTTGGTACAGAGCTAGGTCTTGTGGGGATACCTTAAGTGAATTCTCACCATGATGCTCACTCTCCTCAAGACACAACTCTTTAATACCTATGATATCAAGGCTTGACTCTCTCTCTTCATAGGGCTGATGTGAAGACAAAGGGACAAATTTGGAAGGAAGTGGGGTAGGTGATGGCTTGCTATCATCAAGACCAAACCTCTCAAGGACCTTTTGGATGTACCTTTGCTGGAATAGGAAGATGGACCGTGACTTACGATCTCTCACAATGTTCATACCAAGATAATGACTCGGCTCACCAAGATCGGTCATCGTGAATGCACTCGTGAGAATACCTTTCACCTTGTTGAGAAGATCAAGAGAACCTGAGACTAGGAGGAGGTCATCGACATATACCAAGAGCCAAATGTACTCCCCCTCACTCGTGTGCATGAAGTACAGAGCGTTGTCTCTCATGGACCTTGTGAAACCATGCTTGAAAAGTACCTGCTCAAGAGCATGATACCAAACCCGTGGGGACTGTTTGAGACCATAAAGGGACTTTACCAAGCGACACACTCGACCCGTACCGTCATCATAACCTTCGGGTTGTGCCATGTATACCTCTTCTTCCAAGACACCGTAGAGAAATGCGTTCTTGACATCCATTTGATGGATATGGAGACCAAGATATGCGGCTATGGCGAGGAGGACTCGTACCGTGGTGTACTTTGCTACCACGGCAAAGGTTTCGGTGAAGTCAAGACCTGGAATTTGGGAATAACCTTTTGCCACTAACCTTGCCTTGTACCTATCGAGGCTACCATCACCTTTTACCTTGATCTTGTACACCCATTTGACACCAATTACCTTCTTCCCTGGAGGTGGCTCAACAAGACGCCATGTACCTCGCTTCATGAGACTCTCAATCTCCTCTTCCTCGGCTTTCAACCAATGCTCTCTTTCGGGACTTGCCATTGCCTCACGACGACTCAAGGGCTCTCGCGGAAGGTGTGATGCTGCCATGCATATTGCCTCTACCTTCTTGTGAATGCAATTCTCACTCTCCTCACATGTGCACCTTGATGACATGTCAACCATGAAATTGAAGGGCTTTTTTACCTTGCGGACTCGTTTACCTTTACCAAACTCCTCAGTTGGCTGAGACACATTAGTGGTAGGGTTCGGTCTCACAGTGTTTGATTGCGTTGATGCGGTCATTTGCGGCTGAGACAACGGCTGCAACATCGGCTGCGACGGCGGCACGGCTGCTTGTTCTTCTCCTGGCGTGGAAATATCTTGATTATCGGTGTTGACTTGAGGATTAGGTATGGTGACTCGTGGCGGTGAAGCTGAAACGTTTGTCGGCATAGTTGGTTGTGAAGATGCTCTTGGTGGGGATCTTGAGACTAGAAGCTTGGGAATTGATGATGACGCTGCCTTGTCGAGAGGTGGTGATGGTTGGGGCTGGTTGGTGTTGTTGCTCGGTGTTGAAGATGGTGGTAACTGATGACGACCGAATCCGGGACGTGGGGGTGAAGTTGAGAAAGGTCTTGGGTGAAGAAGTGGACTGTTGGAGCTGGTGTTGGTGGTGACTCGCTGAAGTGATCCTCGTGCTATGAGCTGGCTTGACGTTGGAACAAGTGATGAACGTGTGGTATGAGAACGAGGTGTTGCGGTGACGGTTGACTTGTTGCTAGGAAGAGTCGTAGATGGTGTTGATGTAGGTACTTGGGGTCTTGTAGCTGTTGATTGCTGCTGCATGGGATGATGATGAGCTTCTGTAGTTGCCTCTGGAGTGATGGCTGGTGATGGGTTTGATGGCGTAGTGGTGGGCTGATCCGGTTGGCGTTGAAATTGTGAGGTTGGTGTTGATATAGCTGGCTGGTTTGTGACTGTTGGCTGCTGCTCCTTTGGTGGTGATGGAACGGTGACTTGCTGCGGTGGATTGTCTTCATTTGATGGCTGAACTTCATCTCCACTTGGTTGAGTAGCTGCTGGTGGCACTGGCGTGGCACGGTTGGACTCGTTGACGACGGCTTGAGGGAGATCGATGATCGGTCCGCTATGGTCAGAATCGGTGTCATCTTCTTCCTCCTCTTGTGTTGTTTCCTCAGGTGCGCTTGCTGGTTCCTGTTGGATAGAGGGTAGAGAGGAGGAAGAGGAAAACTTATGCCAACCTGCAAGGGACATGTCTTCATAGAAGACAACATCCCCTTGAAACCACTTCTCGCTTGGTGACAGGATCCCAAAGGACCCATCCCTTGCTCTC